TGAAAAAGAGAAGAAAACTGACCTGTGGGAGAAGCGGTTCCAAGAAGCGTTAGCAAAGTCTCAACGGAAGAGAGATCGAATGGCGGCCCGGTTCGCTATTGATAACATCAAAAGGACCGTCGACTTTGACGATAATCTGCNTGTAATGTGATGGCAGGTCATGCTACTCCCAACCTCAAGAACCAAAAAAAATATTAAGTTTTTAACTCCGCCTGTGTTTGAATTCTCGTGTAACACAGCCGGTCCCAAGCCCGGACAAAGGAGGAGGGTTTTATTGTCTTTTAGAAGTTACATCCTTCATAAATATGAACCAGATAACCAGTAATGGTGTGGGCTGCGATACTGTTAAGTGTTCAGAAAGTTTTTTGTCTGATTAATTTTTAATCCTGTTGCATACTGTTCAGGCTGAAAATTCTTGTGCGGGTATGCTTTTCTTCTACCAGCTTTTCTACTTGTAGTTTTGGACAGAAGATAATGCTGAGTTGAGAAATACAAATGGATATATACCTGTGTTTTCTTATTTTATGTTTTATTTATTTTACAGATAGTAGTAAGAAGAAAACTTACTGATGTTGTTTAACTGTGTTAAAGCGTGCCTACCTGGGGCCTTCCTTCTTACCCTCACAACAACAAACCAGATGAGTTTTCTTGTTTGGAAATCATCTCTTCAACTCTATTCCTCTGAATGATTCTTACTTTTAGTAGATATCTGGTTAATAGTTGGTCTTGACCCTTTCTATTTCCTGTTATATCTTTAAACTGAGAATCATTCTTCTGCTATTTTCATACTCTCTGTATCATGCTAATCTTTCCGACCTGTTACTTTCAGTAGGGGGTCCAAAATCATCAATGTGGAAAGTTAGTCATAAGGCAATTTATACAACAGATGGCAGGGCCATGAAAATAACCAGTTAAGTAAACCAGTGGCAGATCATGTTAATAATCAACAGCTGAATTGCAAAGAAGACTGATTTGTAAAACAGTTGAAGATTATAAATACAAATGCTAGAAAAGGTCTTACTACGACACTTTAAAAGCTTATAATGTAAATGTTAAGCTGATTAACTTGTGTTACTCGTAAGCACAGTGTTAATGAAACAGTAGAAAGTAGAAGACTGAAAGAATACCCTCGGATGTTAACAGAGCAGGAGGAGGGACAATGAGACTTTGATTTATCTGACTATCAACTCCTCACACTTGTATTTTAAGTCTTTAGTTATCAGTGTCTTGGATCTTTGTCCTGTTTTTCATGTAAGACATGTTAATGCATTTTTCACCTTGAATTGGTCAAAATATGCCGAATTTCTTTCTTTTCTTAAACTAGCAACCTGTTGAAATTGCAAAATTGTCTAACTTACAGCAACATATTGGACTTGTGTCCAGGGTTGTGTAGACACATTTCAGGTCTTATACTTGTTCGGATGGTTCTGATCTTATACTTTGTGTTCGTTTAGGCTCAGCATTGAACAAGGATATATTTGGGACAATATACTACCATGCTTTAAAAGCTTGTATCTGGAATAAAACATTAATCAATTGTATTTTTTTGGAGAAAATCAACATCACTCAAGGATGAATTATGTACAATCCATCACACTTTTTCTGTTCTATTCACACATATGACTCCAAATTGCAAATCCTACAAATGAAGCTGCTCGGCAGTTTACTATACAATAGAATTACTTCTTGGCTCAGAAAATTAATTTCTTTTATACATCTCCTTTCTGGCAACCAAATTGGCGTGACTAAATTAAAATGATTAGTCAAAGTGTCAAACATCTAAACTCCAATCAAACTTCTTATTTTCCTCTTGGACATTCTCAGGTTCACAACAAATACAGAATAGCTTATAACGGTAAAATGGGCATATCTTTGTTTGGAAAACACACAACTATTTGGCAAAAACCCTTGTCTAAAAGTCCTCAAAGTCACATTCTCCAATTTCTACAAACGATTAACTAATAGAGTATACTCCACAAACTTTTCCAACAGAAATTTATTAACGACCCAACATGAAGTTCAAGTATAGTATTCATCATTGAAGTTTCCCAAAATTGTCTAAAAATAATATTTTCACTAACTTGCATAACCATTTTCCTCCCCTACTTACTGAAGTGTAAACAGCCCTTCCACAAATAAGCAAAATAATGCAAAGAGTAGAAAATGAGAAGAAAAAAGTTCCGCGGCGACTTAAATCTTGAAGGGCACACAGCAACAGTATGGTACTGCTTCCAATAAAGCTACATGCTAACATGGTTAGATTTTCAAGCTTCTTAATGTTGAACTAAGCACAGAGAGATTGCTGGGAGCTCTCTGCTTATAGTCTTTCTCCAATGCCATTGCGGACAAAGATTGCAGCTCCGAGCTCTCCTTGTCCTCCTTGCTTCGCCCTTTACTCAACTGTCCAATGGCAGACGTACACTGGAAACATCAATGCATAAAGTAAGTTCTCCAAGGCTGTGTATGATAAAATTACAAGAACCTACTTCATTTAGTAGTACGAGTAATTAACAGTCCATGAAGTTTTAAAAAAACTCAGTATTAGAGAATTTAATTAATGTAAAGAACTAGGGACATACAGGACTGGTAGTGCACTTCTGACTCGCTAGTTGGAAAACAGTCTATGTTCAGGATAATGATAACAACTTGTATACATGCGGAGTGCAATGAGTGCGTTATGTCTTCAATTTCTTCTGTGATTTTTTATTCCGGATAAGAAATTTCTTCTGTATTTGTCAAAAACCTAGAGCACTTCTATTAATTTCTTTACATCTAGAGCATTGACGTATAAGAAAAGCGGTAATATTCACAAAGGATTATCAAAAAAATAAAAATCATCAAGGATTATTTTATCCAATTTTAGAAAAGAGAGACAGAAAGACTGACCAAACATATGCCAAAAAGTGCTCTGGTACTCTTGCCACCAGTTAAGTCAATGGTAGATGCATAATATTTCTTTGCCATCTGAAGATTTTCTAGTCCACCAAGTGTATAGAGCACCTGTTCGACCCATAATAATCATGATGAGTGATTATTTCACGGCTATTATCAGAAAAATGTGCATTAAGTTTGGAACAGTAATTCCAGTCAATATTGGGGAAGCACGTTCTTCATGAAATCACAAAATTAACATGCAACCCAAAACACTCTTATTCTTTAACTCTGGCATCCAGTTGGTCCAGGAGAGCACACAAGTAATATGAGCCAACGTTTCTCTTAATAAAAATTATTGAGGCAGATATCAGAATCCTTTCCATTTTTCATCCATGAGAAAATACGTGAAGGTATTTTCAAGCAAAAAAGTACTTCTTAGGTTCAGCATTTACATGATATCAGCTTTTTTCATCACTGTTTTCCTCGATCTATAAGAACATCTTTCTCAGGTCGCAATAAGATTCAGTAGCTAATCTATTACCTCACTATAGTTCTGCCAGACAGATACAGTTCACATAGAACCTTAACAGGAACTAATATGGAAATCATCGGACAATAATAACCACCAGCATCTTAATGACCCAGTCACCCCCAATCAAGGGTCACATACAACGAGGGTAATAAGTTCAGGTGCAAGCAGACATGTGTATCGTCCATCTTTATTATTTCCTCTTTTTTTCTTTTATATTTTTTTCTTTTCTTCTCCTTTTTTCTCTTAAGGATTTGGACCAAATCCACATTTTCCCTAATTAACTATCATATCTAAAGACTTGTCCAGTTAATTTAAAAAATAGACACCCTCAGCTTCTGCCATCAAAGAGTGGAGGTCTTAGGTATTTCTCTAACTAGAGAAAGATTCATTTTGTTCAATAAACTAGGTCCACATAACTGTCCCGTGAAAAAGCCACTTGTCCTGATTCCTGAGCCTCCCTTTTGATAATAACTTTTGCAGTTGGTAAAAATAGCTGCTAGAAAGACCAAGTATGAATCAATCTACTTCCTTTTATCCACTGAACTAGGTGATAAATGAAGCTTCACGAGCAACTTACAAGAACAATATCATTAATAACTATAATAACAATACCTCTCAAAAATGGATGCAAGCTCACAAGGATTGCAAGCTATTATTAAAGCACCTCTAATAATTTTATTAAAAAGCAACGATAAAATATGACTTGAGAAGTCTCTTACATCAGCGTAGGATAGGTGATATAAAGGAACTGTCGGTTGAGATAAGATCAGCTCCTCATAGCAGAAAGCTGCTTGCTTGTACCTAGATATGATATGACAGACAAACACTTTCACTTAGCTAGTTAGGGCAAACTGCAAGCATGGATGAAACAGCAGCTAAAGAAGGTATCAATGGAATAGAGTTGCCTCCCAAGCCATTAGTATTCCACTCTGAACACTAGAATAAAAAATCTTACATTTGCAGGGAAACATATATTTCAGCAAGCTCTCTCCAAGCTTCATGATCAGCCATGAATCTATCAAAACCACGAAGAAAAGAACAAGGATTAACGTCGCAACATATTTATTACTGTTAAGATGCGATGCATTTTAGATTCTTCTTACAAGTCAAGATACTTGTTAAGCCAGTCAATTGCTGCTGACGTATTGCCTTGCGCCTTTGCCATGGCTGCCCTCCTCTTATGTACAACCTAAAGGATATCAATAAGATACAGAAAATATATGGCTTCAGCTTTGAATTATTCTTCTTTTTTCAAATTAAATGAGTGTAATCACATAGCCTCTATCGTGAGTACAGATGTTTTATGTCTATAGCACATTAAGTTAAAAACCATGTCAATTAAGTTAAAAATCACTTTTAAATTTTTTATTCACAAGATGCAGCTCTTTTATTATAACGGTGGTTTCCAGGCCAACTTAGGTGTACCTCGACTATTCCACCGGGTACCCTCCCACCCAGGTAACTCTGCCACCAACCTCTGCCACCAAGACGTAAGACATATGGGAAGAAATCGCCTAGTGTTTTTGTCTATATTGGAATTTGAACTCTTATCTCCAAGGTCCCCACCTACTTCATTTAGAAGATACAGTTTTAAGTATCTATTTCAAGTTCAATGACCAATTTTCGTATAATAAGTTCCAAATTCCTATTTCTAATCACTAACATTTTCATGCATTAAATTTTCTTTTTCTTAAATATTAGGATATGGCTTTACCAACTCTAGTTATTAGCACGTTAGGACAATAATAGGTTAAAATTACAAAAATGAGATTACACTGGGTTGTTGTTGTTGTTGTTAGAAAAATGAGTATTTGAAGTTGAAGTTGACAAAAAAGTACATAGTTGTGTTTGGACATGAAGTTCACTTGGAAAAAAAGTTGAAGTTTATGAGTTTAAACCATTATTTCACTTGAAATACACCTTAAACCAATTTTTCAACTTTAAATTCTCCATTTCAAATTGAAATAGAAATAACGGGCAAAATTGTAAACAAATATTGATTTGTAAATGATATTGTAGTATTTGCAAATAATATGTATGTCCAAACACCTAGTGTTAACCTCTTCAAAACAATCTATGCCATAAGGTGCATGCCTCATGACCTTGGCACCAGCACTTAAAGAGCCATCTAAGCGAGGATAAGCACCCATCCAATGCTACGACTAGCTTGAATGCTTAATCACACCTCAAGCACGCTTTAACAGAGGCACACAAACCACTTTGAGCAATAACAATGAGTATCTACCGTTCCACTAGACCAGCATTCCCAAATGAGAAACACACTATTTTAGGGCACGTTTCCACATACGAAGTTATGTATTTCACAAGTAAATTAATTGAACCAAATTAACAACGGCTGGTGAAATGGTTAGTCTATCTCAGACCTGATCAAATGGATTTTCCTCCAAAAGGCTTGAGTAAGCATTTTCTGCCTCTGACCACAATCCCCTGGCCTCTAGCAACATAGCTTCTAGCCTGCCTGAGAACAAATCAAACTAATTACTCTTAGCCATTATTACAAGGCCAAGTATACATGGCGGAAATCAGAACTACACGAAGTAGGAAAAATACACAGTAAGGGGAAAAAACGTTTAAATCTATATTGCTAAACGAATATTTTTTTTAATTCTCAGCAGTAATAATGTAATGATTGAGAGTAAAACTGATAGTCACTGCAGCAAAGGATGATATATTGAGAAAGCTTTTTGGGGTCATACAACATTTCAATAACTTCTCACTTAAACATAAGGTATCTAAGTGTGAACAGATGATCATTATAATGGGATAGAAATATACAAATACAAAATCAAGGCAATAATGTTACATAACGCTTTAACAAAACTAAGACTTAACTACCATCTTGAAATGGATCATTACTAGTACTACCTGGCCCATAGCTGCAATGGTAGCATAGAGCTTGTACTTTCCAATATGAGATGGAAAGGGAGCTGCAGAATATATTCAAATAGCAGACTATTAACATAATTGTGTGGATTATCTACTTTTAGGTATACCTCTTGTATTCAGAAACTCTCCCATTATCAATAAAATTACACTTGATCTAAAAAGAAAAAAAAATATTTACATATTGAGTGTGTTGATCCCCCTAAGTTTTCTGAGTAAATTTAAAAAGATGATAATAAAGTTTTGCATTTTCAGAAACAAACAATATTTTGAGACAACATAACATATGAACACCGGCAACCAAATCCATCTATTCCAATTAATTCTGTACGGTCTTTGAAATATTTATCAGGCACATACCAAAAGAAAAGCTATCAACATTTCCAGACTTTGTGGCTTAAATTTTGTTATTGATGATATCTATATGAAGAGATATTATCAGATTTTCTTACTCAAGAGGTTCTACTTCTTCATACACCATTCTTGTACCACCATCCGCGTCGGTCAAGATACTACTTTAGACAGCTTCATCAAAAGTAATATGCTACTTTAACCGGATAAAAAAAATCCGTAATCCTATAAAGCAATATGTCAACAATAACCCAGAATCCCAAGACAAGAAATAGGAGTAATTCACAGTAGATCATTATAAATGTAAGTCATAACAGCAAAGCATCAGGTCCTTATAACATCAACTCTAGTGCAGGGTTGTGACCTCGCTTAAAGCGAGAAGCGAAGCGAAGCTACCCAACCATCGCTTCTGCTATCTGAAGCGTAGCAGGTATTTAAAAGCGGTCGCTTCCCACTAAAAAGCGAGAAGCGACGATGCGAAGCGAGGCGACTGAAGCGAGCTCTTCTCTGGAACAATGTGGTTCATGCATTGAAGATTGGTAATCCTTTAGTTAAAGTGCTTCGTTTGGTGGATGGGGAGCAAAGGCCACCAATGGGCTACCTTTACGAAGCAATGGATAGGACAAAGGAGGCTATTCAAGACTCTTTTAGTGATCAAAGAAAATACAAAAGAGTCTTTGAGATCATAGATAAAAGGTGGAGCGATCAGATTCATCGTCCTTTGCATGCAGCTGGACTTGTTTTGAACCCGGAACTGTTTTATGACAATGAAGAGAGGATTCTAGAAGATGAAGAATTGTGGAAGGGATACATTGAATGTATTGAGAAGTTGATACCTGAAGAATCCGTGCAAGATAAAATAATTTAGTAATTATAGGAATGCTGAGCAACTTTTTGGAAAAAACATGGTGATTAGACAAAGAAAGATGAAGTCACCAGGTGAGCGAGTGCTTATATGTTGCTTCATAGTTAATAAGTTATTTCTTTATCAATATTATGTTTTGAATATTTGTTCTACTTCAACAATTGAATGGTGGAAGCAATATGGCCATTCCACTCCAGAATTACAAAAGTTTGCCATCAAGGTTCTAAGTCTAACATGTAGCTCATCCGGGTGTGAAAGGAATTGGAGCGTGTTTGAACATGTAAGAACTAAGAAGAAAGATTTAGTATATTGAGATAATTAAATTATATCTCAATTGTCCTAATCTTACTAATTACTTATTATTTGCAGATTCATACCAAAAAGAGGAACAAACTAACCTTGAAGCGTCTCAATGATCTAGTCTTCATTAAGTACAATAAAACATTGAGACGTCGTTACACCGCTCGCAATGTAATTGATCCAATTAGTTTGGACAACATCGATGATGCTAATGAATGGCTAACTGGAGTCCCGGAAGATCATGCAGATGAAGAAATATTTGAGGAAACTTCTGATTTCACATGGGGTGATGTTGCGGAGGCGCGTGGAATTGGGGAGAGGATTTATGGTTTGAGGGGGAGTACCTCAACTTCAAGTTCACAGAGGAAGGGAAAAGAAGCAGCTACTTTGTCCCTAGTTGATAAAGAAGAAGTTGAAGAAGATGACGAGCAATATAATAATGATAGTGGAATACAAGCATTTGACAATCTTGTAGAAGAATAGGATGCTCATTTTGTGCTTTAATTGATGCTAATCTTTAGTTTTTACATTGAAGTATTGAACATTTGCTTACAGTTACATGTGTTGTCTATGCAGTATTTATTTTAGTATTTTATTTTTTAAATTCCGCTTCACTTCAAAAAAGCGAGCGCTTCGCTTCTCGCTTCTCGCTTTAAGCGAAAAGGGCATTGTCGCTTTTCCTCGCTTCACGCTCTTCACAACACTGCTCTAGTGCTTAACGGAATGTCATTATCATTCATTCAATCCGGCTATAAGAATTCTGGAACCTAAAAGCTTACCATTCAGTTCAAAAATTCAATTTCAGCCCATCATTAAAAATACTATTTCATAGCAGCTTCGTACTTTTTCCACCCGTTATACAACAAATATGTGTGTGTGTGTATAATGCAGCATCAAGCTTCTAACAATTATGTTTCATGCTTTGCTTGTGCAGGATACTCTTAAGGAGTGATACATGAAACAAGAAATAGAAGCTTTACCAATCTAGTGATTCAAACTCACTGGCCACGGGTGAAGAAAGTGAAGCTACAAGAATACAAGACCACAACCATACATATATATAGACCAAAGAGAACTCACCAACCCTTTTGCTCCCTGGAAACTTCTTTTGCAAAACCTTTATGCAGTCCTGCAGAAGTTCTCATAACATAAATTCCAAATAATTTTCCGCGTAATCATAAAGAAAGTGATGACAGCTTCACAAGAAAATATTCCACACATAAGAATAAAGAGTGAACATGACTTGAAAAATAGCTAATGCATTCTGGCCAATATGGTTGACTACACGGTCAAATCACTTCATTACTCGGTATATTTAACCACATCATCAGCCAATATCACTCTACCAATGGAGTAATGATAAATGTATCTATGCAACATTATAGGAAATAACGGTCGAACAACTATCTTTCTAAATTTGCATAAACATTGACCATTTAGTTGTAGTGACATCTTTTATATATTAGATTATGCCAGAATGTTTCTCTACATATTACATACAATCCACTCATAGCTATGATCTCGGGTACTATGAGATACATTTTACATTATTGTACTGACTATTGACATTTAGCATCTTCTAGAAATCTTTTGCTGAGTAAAAATAGATGAGCTATGTAATTTCAGATTATTTGATAAAAGTTCTATCAGCATGGATTCTGCAACTCAGGGAATTCGAAAATAAACTACAATGGAAATATCATGCATGTCCATAGAGGTAACCAAATTTGACTGAGCGATTACGAGAAAGATTTTTTTACCTTTGCCACATCAAGAGACTGACAATCCATAGCTGCAACAGCTACCTGCTCATAAAGAGTCCACTCTGCAATATTTTGGGTTGCAGCGAATAAAAGATTGATCAGAGGTTTTATCCAGTCACATTATGTTGGAACAAAGTCTATGGAGCAATCAATCAAAAACACAAATTAAAAAAAGAACATAAAAGAAAAAAGAGAGATATCCCAAAACCCAAAATCTCAACTTCTCCATGAACCAATACTTCAATTTTCCACTTCGATCGATCTTAGACTACCCAAATCAGTGTAAAAAAACTCAGCTTTTCCAGTCCCAAATATTACCCAATTGCCACTAACTTGAATCCTAGACAGCCCAAATTAGTACAAGATCTCAAATTTCCCAGTTGTAGTCAAAATCCAGTTACCCGAATCCTAAACTACCAAATCAGTAAACCAAACAAAAAGATTTCGGCTTTACGGGTCAATTGGATATGAATCGATAAATTGTAGTATTATACCTTCAGGACCAAGAGCAGATCTCTTTTTAGAGTCATTGAGAATGGAGAGGCCGTGCTTCAACACCAAATCAGATCGACGGAGCTTGAGTTTATGGACAAGGCACAGATATTCCCAAGCACCTCCCCCTCCATTCTCTACTTGATTCTCCAATCTGTTTACCTCTTCTTCCTCTGTTCTTGTTACCATCTTCTTTATTGGTTTCTCAGATTTGTCGCGATATTCAATCGGGTTTTTCTACGTCTCCCACTTCAAAGAGTGCTGCTTCTGTTGTTGTCGTGTTTGGCTTTGTACCTTGTGAGTTTGTGTCCAACTAGGGAAAGCCGGTTTGTTGGATCTGCTTTTGTTTGATCTACGGTCCACTCTCTATTCTCTAATCACATAGTTTAAATAGACGACTTTACCCTTTTTACTTTTGTTTTTTTTTCATAACTTTGTAATTTTGCTTCAATAAAATGTATATAAGTACTATAGCCACACCTATCTTAATAATTATTTACTATAAAAGTCACGTTTTTTTCGGAATCGATTCTTATGTTATTATATATGTGTTATGTAACAACACTTCACTATACCAACCAAAAAATATTTGAACAAACGAGACTATTATAGAGAAGTTTGACTGTAAGTAGTACTCTATCCGAAATGAACACGGTAGTAACAATAGGGGAGTTTTACACAATTACCCGATCGAATTTATTGTTTACTTTTTTTAGCTAGTATACATAGATTATACGCATATTAATTCATGGCTTATACATATATTATATATCCACTGGCTATTTTAAATTTAAATGCTTGGCTAGGCAGCTATTTTAAGTTAATTTTCTCTTGCACGAAGTAGTCAATTGTACTCTCTTTGATTCAAATTTAATTTCTTAGTTTTACGTTGATTCACGAGTTGAACTATTAAATTGTTCATTTGTCTTGTTGTCTGAACAACTTTATGTAGAGATTTTTTAAAAAACTTTCTTGAAAGAAAAATATTTGAACTGTTGTTTCGAATAAAAACTTAGGTCTATTTTCGAAATCTATTTTATAAATGCGCTTCAAGATTGTACTTTAAGTGCCACTTTATTTAAATTGTTCAAACAAGTATCATGCGACTTTTTCCAGTAAATTGCATGTTCAAACCGGATTAAAATTTGTTGACAAAATATGTAAGGTTTGCTTTTTGGTATTTTGAGGGGANGCTTTAAAAGTTGGGGTAGTTTCAAAATTGTCTAGGCTTTCAAAACTAAATACAAAATCCTAGCATGATAATGATATTTATATCCAATGGCAGCAACATATTTTCATTTAAATCAGAAACGTATGTATCACAAACAAAGTCTTCCTAAAATCACGCATGATGGCATAAGCTTTTAATTCTCACACAATCGTTTCTTAATTTCTCGCAAGAATGACTTTCACAAGAAATAATTATTGGTATAATATATATTCAATTAGCAACATTAATTATATAAAAGGTATAATACTCAAACGATGCCATTATATATTTATAGAATAATTTTGGTATATTTCATACTCAATTATATAAGTGGTATAATAATGGTATAATGTATATGTGTTCTATGTATATTTGGGTCTTCTATTTAGAATAATCTTGGTATATTTACATAATGATTATGGTATATTGAATGTTTAAATATATAAATGACATAACATGGTAAATTTTATCAAATATACATTAGATTAACTATAAAGTATACATCTTATTCTTTTTCTTTTTTATTTTTTATTTTCTTTGTTCCTTTTTCTTCCAAAGTGAGAAGAGATAAAAACAAATAAGAAGGGCATGGGTAAATAATGGTGCTTTTCTGACGTTGTTCCTTTTTCAGATCTGAAGGTGATGGATTCACCATTTTAGTTTGCTGGTCGTTGACATATTCAGAGGTTAAAAATGGAGGGGCTATGGTAATTAGGTTGAAAAGGGTGAAGGTGGAAGATGAGAGGACGAGGGNAAATGGAGAGGCTATGGTGGTTAGGTTGAAAAGGGTGAAGGTGGAAGATGAGAGAGAGAGAGAGAGGGATAATAGATATGGGGTGGGGGATACAAGAAATTTGAGGGGAGAGAGGATAATAGGTTAATAGGGTATAAAATCTATTAATTAGTGGGTCAAATGTTCTCTTTAACTAATCCCTGATTTTGTGGACATTCTAATGTTTTAATCAATCTCATAATATTTCAATACTGCTAAAAATGTAAAAGAAATTGCTTTTTTGGAATAAACAAAAAGTAATTTTATTTATAAGAATAATTTTTAAGAAAGGACTAACCGTGTAAAAAAAACTCTTAAAAGTTTCATTATAAGGTAAGTGGACACTCAAAAGTGGATGTTGAATGGGAAGATGAAATGAGATCCATTAGACCAAGTAAATTAGAACTATTTAAATAAGTTAACCAAGTTGATAAGATCCATTGGCCTGCATTAGCACTGTTTAAGAGATTATATGGCCAACTTAGACCCTAAAAACATAGTATTTGTCGTGTCTAGACCAGCTATCCTTTTTTTCTCATAAATCCTTGAACGCTATCTTCTTGTTAAGAATAAAATGTCTTAAAATTAATTTCTAATTTGATTTGATGGTGGATACGGAGTACAGGGTACTCTATTTTTGCTGTAATAATAATGTTTCTATCCCAAAATTTGCAATTACCACTCCCATTTTATTTCAGGTAATAATTTGAGCTTTAATCAATCTTTCCTCAAAATAGAGTTTGTGTCCGTTAAATGAAATATGAGCAAAATTCAAATTTATTTTGAAAGGCTAAACAAAATTTTATACAGTACACCCCATTGAAAGCCCATTTAGATATTCAAAAGTTTTATTTGAAGTGTACAAGAACCATTAGCTGACAAGCAGGTTTTAATGAAGCTGCTTAATCATTGAGCAGCTTCAAGTCAGTAAAAACTTCTACCTTTAATCATTGAACCTATAAAACCATACATCCATGTAAAAGTTGGTTAATCAATGATCTACTTCTGCTTCAGCTAGCTACTAAGCGATTTAAGAAAACCTTTTTTACATCAAGCAACTGTCAAATAAACATGTGCAGTACCTCTAATTTTAAATTCTGAACCTATATATTTCAAAGGAATCTGTTAGTAAAAAGCTGCTTAATCAACCATCTAGATATATCCAGCTTGCAGCAAAAGAAAAATAATGGAAGAAAATGACCACTTTCTTACATACAGTAGGAAAGATAATGGAAGAAGAGCCAAACAATACAGTAGGTTTTTTCAGGGGCTGCACATGCTAGCTTTCTTACATATATATGTAGTAAGCTACAGTGCTACCAGATTATTTTCCTACACTACAAAATTTCGAGGTCAATTGGTTAGAGTGGAGAGGATACAAGAAGTTCGTATACATTTTGCCTTACCATGCTCCGTTCTTTCATACTTTCCTTCTTAGTTCATAATTCTTCAACCAATCGACCACTATACAAAGACATGGCTACAACAGTCCACTCGACACATTCTCAGATGTGATCAAGGATTAGTACACTATACAGCTCACATTAAGGACCTACCCTTAGATGAAGAAAATAGATTGTCGTTGCCAAGGAAACGTCATCTAGTTTACCTCTTGATTACAGTATCTTTCTCGTCATTCTTCTCATCAGCATTGTTACTAGTGTAATCTCTATGGCCTCTTGTGTTTCAAGTGCTTAATTTTTCTTTTTTTTCCCTTTATGTTGATAACTGTGGTGTTCGAGCCGGCTTGCGTATCTCGACAGTTGATACAGTACCGAGTAACTCTGCTCACCAAGGCTTTAGATATATGAGAAGAAGTCACCTAGCAGTTTCTTGGCTCTGCTGGAATTTGAACACTGGTCTCTTATGGTTAAGTGCTTAATTTTTCTCTTATCTAGAGCACTTCACTTCATCTGCAAAATACAATTTACTTTAATAACTATTATAATACTAAACCCCAAGGAATGCTCATTACAAGCTTATGAAGCAATTCCTAACACCAATACAAGGAATTGATTGCTGGCATTAACAACAATCATTATGTGAAAACCACTGAAACATCCGAAGTACCAGTCACATCATATATATCTTTTCTCTTTACAATTCAAAGCAGGCTACCAAAGAGAATAGTATTAAGTGCTGCAATCATCATATGTTCAGGCAAGGAGAGCGTACCTAGTTTCTGGAATGAGCAGGCAGGAGTCTCGATGCTCTTGATGTTCAGAAGTGGCTGCTGCTTGCAAGCTGGAATCCCTGGGCTAAAGGCAAAGAGTGAGCTATATCTAACTGCTTGTGGCTTGGCTCTCTTTGCTTTAGGTCAAAATCAGCTGCTGAAGTGAGTTTGTGCCAATATTACTAAGTGCTAAACTTTGATACACTCTGCCTAATACTGTGAAGTTTTACCATATCCAGTCAGTCCTTACTGAGACAATGACTGCAGGTTATGTTCTACCCATTTTATTGCCAGGCCTCACCCAAAAAACCATACCATCATCAGGTTCTACGAGCAAGAAACTTCAATTTGGCACCAAGCACACAAGAAACACCACCGCTCAATTAGAATCATGTCCTCAAAGATGCATATTGCAGTATTGTCCGTGTCATGTTGCCTGTTTCCAGGTTGGTTAGTTATCTCTCATTTATCAGTTTAAGTTCCACACTACCAAAAGAATGGGAGAAAAGATACGAAACATGCTACCTTTATCTGGATTAAGATGAGCAATGTAATGGTGACAGATGACAGAAAAACAATGGCTGAATAAATTTAACAATCACGTTCAAGAAATATGAGAAAGAATCCAATAACGATTTGTTGGGAGTGTGGTAGAGTTGTATATATAAAAGAATCAAAGAATAATGTGCTTGGCTTAAAACAAAGGGCCAGAGACTGTTCAACGCACTTCATCCTAATTCCTTGCCTCAATCTTAAGAAGGTGGTGGAATCATAATCTGGGAGACAAATATAAAAACCAAACTGCTAGGTTAATGAAGGAACCATGTGCTAGAAATATCAAAGGTTACAAAGTTCTTTCATGTAAAAGGCATATCACCTCATACAATGGCAAGTTGGCAACCATGTCTACAGACAGCAGTGACATGTTTTGAGATTACAGTTTAACATGCTTTATTGTAAGAATATCTAGGGAAACTAATCAGAGGCAGACAATCACTAACATATTTAAACAAGTAAAGATATTTTCAAAATGGGTAAAATAACATTCATGTGATGAGATGGAGATCATTACTGATAGATCGGAAGGGGTCAGTAAAGTAATACTACAGCCAAGGATTGAGAATTCTAGGATATTAACAAATTGAGAAAGGGTTTAAAAAGTAATAAAAGATGATCATCTTTTTTGATTGGTTAATTCAACAAGTGCCCTCATAATTCCATTAAACTTCCAAAAAGAAACCAGATAGTGGAATGCCAACAAGTGATAACTTCACAAAGCTGATATCTTTTCCCTATTTGCTTACTGATCCAAAAATTTTTAAAAAAAAAAAACAAATATGGTACCTTTTCCCTCGGCCGCTACTATTTTGCAGCAGATGGTAGAGGGATATGGACGTGCTAACTCGTGACACCAGTCGAATTGCAAGCGCCAACAGCGGCAATATTACCTGGTTTAAGGTAAAGCTAATTCATATCAGAACATGGAGGCATAAACACAGAACTAATGGATGATATTCATAGCACTTGTACATAAAAGGCAGTTTAGCCCGAACAGAATTCATTGTCATTGTTACTTTGCACTCCAAACAGTCCATCAAATACATAATACAACTCCAAGAAGTATCAAATAAACATTAGTTGATAGAAAAATTAGATTTTCATTCTAACCAGCTTGGTTTTTGCATCGGTTACCTCTTTAACATCTTCTATATCTTTTGAACTTTGGAACGAGATGGATATACTGTCCTTTTTCCACCATATGTCTAATTACTTCATGAGCTTTGGACAGCTTTCCAGCTTTTTTCAAGTAACTGACTAAAGTACTATACACCATGAAATTTGGATTACAACCCCTCGATTCCATTTCTTTCACCATCATGCATGCCTCATCAAATTTCTCAGCCATACAGAGCCCACGAATCATGGCATTGTAAGTAAACACGTTTGGCAACTGCCCATTGACGATCATGTCACTAAATAGTTCCTGAGCTTTATCAAGTTCCCCAGCCACAACATATCCTGTTATCATAACAGTGTAACACACAACATCAGGCACACAACCCTGCCTAACCATCTCTTCAAAGAAGTATTTGCATGCATCCAGATTACCCGCCCGACTTAGCCCATCTATCAAAGTGGTAAAATGCAGAATGCTTGGCTCACAACCAATTTCTTTCATGTGGTTTAGAAGGTTGAGTACTGCTAGCGGTTTGTCTCCTTTACCAAGAACATGAAGCAGGATGTTAAATGTATGAAAATCGGGTGAAAATCCATTCCGACCCATTTCATCTAATAATCTATGAAATTGATCCAGCTTTCCCAGCCTATATTTCGAGCATAGCAGTATGTTATAAGTTAAAATATCAGGAAGATGACCTTCAACCAACATTTGCTGATACACCCACTCAATTAACCTGTACTGATTTACACCCAGAAGGGAATGTAAAATTGCATTAAATGAATGCCTGAATGGTCTATAATTGAATGTCTTTGACTTAATAAACCTCTCTACTACTTTTCTAGCCAAACCTGCCTCTCCACAAGTACATATCAACAAATTAAATGTCCTAGCAGTTGTAGGGTATCCTTTCTCAATCATCTCATCTACTAATCTCCACATTGCCTTGAATTCCTCAGACTCTGCAAAAATCTTCATTATCAGATGGTACGAATTTTCCGTATGCCGGTNGGCCGTATGCCGGTAATTTTCTTGTTGACCAGACCATACAAAGAACTTGTACCCCAGCTTCGCACACCTATTTTTATTAGCATAATTTATTGTTTTCAAGATACCTAGAAGAACTTCTCTCACAAGCAGGCTTGAAACTGTAATATGCGAATTATCTAAAGCTTCTTTTGCATCAAATCCTGGACCATCTTGTTGAAGAATTTCAAGAATCATACAAGCCTCATTTCTCACTTTCTCAATAAAGTTGTGCCGACTTTTAAAATTTTGTCGGAAATCACCTTCATAGCAGCCATTGATTCCAATAAAGTCAGGCGACTCCTGTATATCAGGCTTATCTTTCATATTATTACCGGAGTTCATACTCTTCCAGCTCTCATTCAAGTAATCTTCGATTTTTCCAAACCCATTTCCAGTGCCATCAGTGTCAAATTGTCGATTACATAAAAACCGTGAAAAGCTGCTAAAATATGAGAATCTCTGAATAACTCTTTGACCAAAAAGAGCTACAGAATACATGCTAGTCCCTTGAATATAAGATAATAAGAAACAATTGTGAGCAAGCCATCACTTTCTCTGCATACAAGAAAGAAAAAAGAAGCACGACATCAATTAAGATAAATCAAACTTAATCTCTTCATAGACTTCATTAAATATTAATAACTCAATCAATAGTATTTCAATCCCATTATTCACAAGCATAAATAATTCGTAAATCATTTATAAGAACTAATTGTACATTGATGTGAATGCTTATTGAACAATAACAAATTCATGTTGCATTAATACTTAAACTAAAAATTAATTATTCAATAACCAATGCATAACGCAATAAGAACAATCCTTCTCTGAGGAAAAGCAAATTCCTATTGGTCTTTTTAAGAGTAGCATATGAATTACTTATTAGAAAAAGATATTGCATAAGCATTAGTGGCTGTACCTAAAGATTATATTTTTTCTTTACGTACTTAGATGTAATCACCATATCAGGTATAAGGTGCACACATATAGAGGACAAAAAAGAAAAGAAAAAGCTGCATGTGATAGTGTAAATGTAGATGGTTTGATCATGTCCTACGCGGACACCGAATGCAGGTACAATGACATGATAAGTTGATAAGTGTTAAGGGGGAACAAGGTAGACCAAAAATCGTATGCAGGAAAGTAGTCTTGAAAGATCTACTATCTCTTGGAATTCATACGAACTTGGTGAAGAACATAACACACGCATAATATCCATATAGGTGTCTGCACTGAAGCCACTTAAGAGAGGCAAAGCACAAAACCTATTTTGCATCTAGCTCAGGGCTACATAGCACAATTGGTACACTTACACTAGGTCTGGTGTTTGACGTGACTATTCTTATTTTGGTAACGGATTTTCTGACAGAGTTGGAATAAGTATGAAATTTAAAGAATCCTTAATGGTGGAGGACCCTTATTTTTTCCTAAAAGACAATTTATTAAGTATTGGAATGAAAAAAACCTATAGGGAGCGAAATGGTTAACGGGGATCCATATAGCCGATCCCAACTAATTGGGATTGAAGCATAGTTGTTGTTAATAGAGAAAAGATTAGGAAACCTAAATCCAGGGCTAGAGTATGCCACAGTCCTCAAAGAGGACTTACATTGACATAGACATTGCCAACTAACGGAGACTGTTGGCAGCGCGAACGGAACCTAGGTCTCGAAAGTATTCTACCTTACCAAATTGAGCGCAGACTACATTAGAATCTACCAATGTGAAACGTATAAGTATTAGAATCCTCAAATCAACATCACTTCAAACAGCAAGAAAAGGCTAGACGAAACCTTTCAGCCACCCTCACAACAACCCAAAATACTTAAAGCTACTACCTTTACCCTTTTACCAGCTCAACAACATATCTGTACAGTCTAGATAAACATTTATCAACGATGATGTGCAAATGAAAAAGAAAAAAAAAAGGATCTAGGAATAAGCTCGAGACAAACGAATGATTACAACAATTGAAATAACTCAAAAGACTGCCGAAAAAGGTAGAAAAGGAAGGGAAACAACTTACAGACAGAGAGAAACAGATTGGTAAGGAGGGAGCCATGGACGCAGCGAGGCAGCATCCACCGGCGGCGACCGGCGCCGGAATCAGCGGCCGGCGGGGACGAGTGGAAGTAGCACTGGTAATTTGGGTTTGCTAGCGGGGCTCTAGCTGTGGTGTCGGGGCTCCTAAGGCTGCGCAGAGGGAAGAGTGAAGGGAGCAAAGGGTATAGTGATAGTACCAAAGTGTTATTTAAATGCTACGGGTGTTTTTCGTTAATTTAATACATTTCCAGTTAGTATTTACTTAAATTTTATTTTCTTGATTTTATTCTCCTGCTAAATTCTGTATTATTAATTGAGTATTACTTGATTCTATTTAAAAAATAATATTGATATTAGCAATACATGTACTCCATAAGAGTAGTAAAAAATACTATTCGGTTAACTAACTTCGTATCTCATTCATCGTTATATCTTTTGATATATTTAACATAGAAAATTCATTTTAGAAAAAGAATTGGAAAAATGATTCATATGCCTAAATTTATAAATATCTTTATTTCTTTCTTAACTAGATGGTTATGGCCCCTAAGCACTGGCCCAATATTGTCAGTGTTGAAAACTTGAAATTAACAGCTTCAAATAATTTATATTCATTTCCGAACAAAATATGCACTCATGCATGTTGTGTGGCTACCAACTAATACATTCTTCACATCCAGGAACCTTCATATCATCGATGCATTTAGAAACAAAATCAAGTTGTACACAAGTTACGAAGTATTATAAGTAGCACATTTTTTACTGCCATGAACTTACTATTACATATACACTTTTTAGAAGAAAAAAAAATAATAA